TTATGCATTTGTGGTCTGTCAACCAATACAAACTACTGGGAGAAAAAGGAAGTTTATGAAACTGTCTGTGCTTTTAAGGAGTTTACAGTTCAATCTCAGTTTATTCAACTGTAAAATAGGAATAAGAACACCTGCTTTGTGTTGATGTTTCAGTCAGATGGCTAGATCTGAGTTTAAGTTCCTGCTTTCCCCATAGCTGGGGGAGCATGGACCTCTCTGAACTTTAGTATGCCTGGAGGGTTACATGAAATAACTCTTGTACAGTGCTTCACCCGGAGTGCAGCAAACAAAGAATACTCTATAAATGACAGGCACTGGCTCTCGTTCCTATCACATGGGGAGGCAGGCTAACCCACAATGGGAAACAGCAGCTTACAAAGACTGAGATTCGATGCCTGCAGGTAGCACATAACAGTTAAATCTGGGAATCACAGGCAGATATCGTCACCTAAATGGCCCTGTTATATGTCCTGTGTAGGGGAGCTGAAGAAATTGTTCCTTAATTCAACCAACTCTCACTCCTTTATCCTCTCTGGATCTGAAGTATCATTTATTACCAAAATGCTCCTCAATTTTTCCCTTTGCCACTTTCCGTGGAGAATGAGGTCTAACTTCTCTTTTCTAGTACTCTCTAGGTGCTTAGTATTTTGGACAAAATATTGTCATTTCTTTGACTTCAGTCTGTATTCTCTTTATCTGTTTATCCCTGAGATGCTTACTCTGAATGCAGAGTGCATACAGCTCCCCCTAAGATCCACTAAGCCTTGAAGGGACAGCTAATGTATTGGATGACAGCGAAGACCTCTACTTACTATAAAATGAAATCAGTTTCTTATGGAGCCACTACTGGGGCAGGATCAGGTTGGATCTGTGGTTCCTCACCTACACGCTTCCTCCTGCTTGGATCCTTACACCTACAGTGGCAAGAGTGTTTACAACTCCCTCTTACTTTGTGTACCATATTCTTCTAGACACTTGAAGTTTAGAGAGGTATCAGCAAAGATGACTGGGGATCAGCGAATGATTCTGGGAGAATGTGGAGTATAGAATGGAACTGAAAGTTAGACAAGGATGTGGCTTTTCATGAAGCCAATGATAATCATATGTTACTCTCAGAGCAAGGATAACACTGCCTTATCAGAATGTTTATTAAATGATTGATATTAGGGAAAATAAGGTTTCAAAGGTAGAATGGACACAGATGATAGTACCAAAATTATCAGAAAATAAGACAAAACCAGTAGGAATGATCTTTCAGAACATACTTCCAAATGCAGAAAACACAAAAGAAAATACAGATTTTAGTCCATGAAAAATTGACAATTCCTTAAATATGGAAGAGATGTTATAGATAAAGTTGAAATGATAGAAAATCAAGTGGTAAACTGGGAAATATATTTGCATTGGAAAAACAGAAGGCAAATATCAATATCTTTAACATACATAATGGTGTTAGAAATCATTCAGTAAAATGTTAAAAATTCTCATTATAAAAATTATTTATAAATTGGTGCACTGATGGCTAATTAGTAAAACGAATTGAATCATAACCATAATAATATAAACACAAAACATCCTAATTACATTCCAATATTATATTGGGTACCAATCAATTTGAATATTTTATTGTAGTGCTTACTATTTTATAAATATCAAAAAGGAAAATGTGGATACTAGGAATATCATAAACTGCATATAACTGGGACAAATTCATTAGGCATGAACCAGCAATATTGAACTTATTTGGATATTTGTAGATAGTCATTACAATTACATATATACATATACATGTATATGTAATATATATTACATACATACATACATGTGTATATATCTATATATCTATGAGAGAGAGAGAATGGCTAAAAAGGCAGAATCACATTTCCAAAGACTGTTCTGGGCTGGGGTTGTGGCTCAGTGGTATAGTATACAAAAGGCCCTGGGTTTGATCCCCAGCACCAACACCACCACCACCACAACAAAGAACATTCAAAGGAGACGCCAAATCAGCCCGCTGCAGACAGGCAGGTCTGCGTACGCCCTACTGAGGTCCTGAGTTGCGCAGAAGATGCCAAATCAGCCCACGCCCCGGCAACAATCCACGGGACCCCCCCACCCACCCCCTGCTCCTCTGTACAGCCACCTGGTTCCACACTACAAAGATGCAGAGGACATCAGACCACCAGACGACAGTACTGAGTCCCACTGCTCCAGGCCCAGAGGTAGGGGCTTCTGAGCCACTGTCCCACTGCTCCTGGTCCAGAGGAAGGGGCTTCTTGGCCACCATCCCTCCTGCTGCTCCCAGCCCACAGGAAAGGGCTTTTGGGGCACCTTCTGTCCCACCGCTCCTGGCCCAGAGGAAGGGGCTTCCAGGCCACCATCCCTCCCCCTGCTCCCAGCCCAGAGGAAAGGGCTTTTGGGCCACCTTCTGTCCCGTCGCTCCTGGCCCAGAGGAAGGGGCTTCTGAGCCGCCATCTCACTGCTCCTGGACCAGAGGAAGGGGCTTCCCGGTCACCATACCTCCTGCTGCTCCCAGCCCAAAGGAAAGGGCTTTTGGTCCACCATCCCTACTGCTGCCCCTGGCCCCTGGCCCACCTCTCCCAGCTCAGAGGAGGTAATCCAGGCAGGCGCCAACAGCCCCACCCCAGTCAAAATGAGAAAACATGTAAATAAGTCTCAAAACCAGACTTCCAGACCACCTACAGCAACCCCAAAGGGAAATGAGATGGAACACTCTGATACTCAACCACCTGGGCCCACTGAACTGGCAACAAAAGGGGATCTGGAAAAAATGAAATCAGAAACAATTTCTCAGATAACAGGAGAAATTGTGCCC